TTATTATATATATATTTTTTATACAAATAAAAAAAAAAAATAATAATGCAAAATACCTAGCAAAATCACCCGATCCCAGGTCCATAGTTTAGAAATTGTTTATACGTCTATATGCAATAAGTTTACGCTAATTACTGGATCGACTTTATGGTGGCGAAAGAAAATTCCTTTGAAACCCAAAAACAGATAAACGAAATTCCGAGCGTAATTGAGCAATTGAAATGCAAAAATCCCTTTCAAATGCCACGCCTCCTTTTTTTCCGGGTGCCATTTGAATTTGCTTTATTTTTCTGCTGGTTTTCTCTTTGCCAAGTTTTTTCTTTTACACAATTTTCTTTGCCGCGCTTCTTTCCTCCCTTTTTCATTTATTTTGCTGCGCCATTTGCACAATTTGCAATACAAAGGGGAAAAGAGCAACAACAACAACAAGTGCAATACGATTTTCTTGTCGCCTCTCTGCCTCTTAAACTTTATTTTTATTTTATTTTTTTTGTTGCCTTAGTATTCTCCAAAGTGAAGAGGCGTGATTCAGTAAAACTTCCGCACAAGATTAAGTTCAATAAACTGACAATATGCGAGGGAAAAAGATGAAAAATGCAGTGTGAACAAAGTCGTGGTCTAATGGCTAAATACTCAATAAATTTTCAATAAGCACATATGTATATCGATACATAATCGATATATAATTTATCATAATTTTAAATATTGAAAAATATCACATTTCAGGTAAAAATATCAATACTATCGTAAAATATCCCAAAATATGTTTTAGATTTTTTTTTTTATTTCCCGATTTTATTGGTTTTGTATATCAAAAAGTATATCGATTAATCTTGTATATTAAAAATTAAATCAATTAATCGCATACATATCCCAAAGTTGAAATATCGATTGATATATCGACTTAAATAACGATACATTATAAGTATAACGATATTTTCTGTCATTGCTACTATAAGGAATTCAGTGTTGTAGAAAATGTTTATATTGTAGGATATTTTTACTAAATTTGACTTAAATTATTAACTAATACAGTTACTATACATTAAGAATGGGTAGCTGTGAACCGTCTGCCCTTTCGAATCATTTTTTGCTGCTTGTCATCAACTTCTTTAGCATTTTAACTCTTTTCTTTTTATTTATACATCATTAAATGCAGGTTTGAATACTTGAAAGACACAAAGCAATGGTCACGTAAAGAGATAACGAGAGATAATGTAGTAAAAAAAGTGTATTGAACATGTGAACTTATTTAGTTTTACAGAGAGATTTCTCCGCTTGAAGATTACCGGGTTGACAATAATATTTTATTTATTATAAAATAGTTTACTTAAGTAAGTATTACTTAAATTTGATTTGAGTACATTCTTAGAAAAGTGTATGACTCTTTATGGCAAATTCCAATCATATCGCTATGACGCATTATACATTCTCCAAGCAATTGACAACGAAAACAATTATACAGTTAATTAATGCCGAGTCAGAAATAAACATTTGGTGAATTTGCATTTAGACAATACGGTTGCGCAGTCGCGTGCAACGCATTCAATGTCAAGTTGATACACTGAAAACTAATTATTGTAAAATGTTATGTAAATAAAAATGTACTAATTCCTATTTTGGTTACAAAATTCTTCCAATGAAGTCTTTCTTAGATTTCTAAATTAATAAGAATAAACCTATTTAAATATAGAAAATACTGGGAAAGGAATTGTTGCTTTCTTTTCTCAGTATAATTAATTTGTTAATTGTTACTGCGGCCCTGACGCTTTGAACTATTCACACATTTGCAAATCTACAATTGTGATGAGAAGAGATGGCATCAGTTTTTCGATTTCTTTTTTTTTTTTCTTTTTTTTGTAACTATGATAAGGAGTGGAGGAACTTGTTCAATTGTTTTGTACATTTCTTGTTGTTCAGTTGTGTCTTTACAACTTTCTTTCTCTGCAGCACAAGTTCAAGGCGAAAGACGGGGTAAACTTGTCAAGCTAAAACCATGTTTTTATTTTCTTATTTGGACGAACACGTTTGATCTGCCTTTGGAGATACAAGTAAAAAAATAAGTTAATTCACACCCCAAGAGGTACATACATATACGGGGAACAATGCGTGGGAAGTGTTTTCTGAAGCGAAGAGAGCATAATTAAAACCTAGGCTTATAGTCAACTCTCATAAAAGATCCTCCAAATGCGATAAAACAGCAACAAAGACCATGGAGAAAAGCTTGAGAACCCAAAACCAAACAAAATAACAAAAAAAAAACCTGTATATGACTGAGGAATGCCAGAGAACTTTGGAGATGCTGACACGATGATGTAACAAGCCCTGCTCATTCATTCGAGAATTGTGTAAAATTGTGCTTGAGCATTGAAATTTATGAATTTTCAAATACCTAAAGTAATAAATACTAAAAACCATTCAACTTGCGTACAACTTTTCGTAAAATTAAAATATATTTAAAAGTAAAGTATTCATATAATAATATTTAAGACAAACTTAAAGCAAAGTCCAAAGACTGTCCCCATTAATCTGGAAATTAAACATGTTTCTCACCAAAGTGAACTTTAATTTAGTAAATCACATTTTATATAGACCCCTTCCGTTCCGACAAGCACATCCAACCCATCAGCAAAAGCATTAAACTCACTTGAATGCGAATATAATTGAGAAGAACGAATACATTTCTCTGATTTCAGTCTCCCTTGACGAACTCCCATTAGGAGTGAAATTAGAGCAAATCACAGCTTGATGGCTATAAATTGGGCTAAGTTGCCAAGTTGCGCTATCTTCTGCCCGTGGGCCAAGTTAGCGACTGAACAAAAGATGAGAAAACGTCGCAAAATTATAAAAAACTGTGTCACTGCAGCCGTGAAGATCATGAGTCAGTATTCCATCATTCCGTTGTTGTTTCGTTTTTGTGCTATTTCTTTCCAACCTAATCTGTTCCCACCTGCCGGCGAAGTTCAAGAAGCGGATAAGAAAGACAAGAAATGGCATTAGAAAAAGGTCAGGCGAAAAAGAAGATAAAGTCAAGCATAGACCAAATTATATTGTCAAAGTATAGCCGATGGTCAAAACAAAAAACCTCAAACTCATTTTCTTTGTAATCTGCGTATACAGTTAGTATTCTTTGAAATCATTATTTTTAGGCTTAAACTTAAATTTTAAACATTTTTGGAATTTTTAGAGAATAGCAGATAGATTTTGGTTGATAAAAAACATAAAATAATAAATAATTTTTAGTTTACATTGCAGATTAAAGGCTTGGCGATACATCGATGTATTACCGATGTATCGATGTTTTCGCTTAAAAACATCGGTAATTTCTATGTTAGAAAACATCGATGTTTGAAATCTTCGATGTTTTCAAACCTCTAATGCAGATAAACCCTGTTTTATAAACAAACAAATCAATAATTGTAAAATTATGTGTGGTTTTTTTTATTATTTTTGTGTTTTTGTTATCAATAACTCAACCGTTCGATTAATGCAATCATTAGCATTATTCTCTTATTCCTGTGTTTTGCGGAAAGCTTTGACGCCCCCTTGGTTACCAAACAAACAAACTAATAATAATTAGCAAACGTCGGGGAAAAGGCAAAGAAATATGGTGTATGACACACACAAAAAAAAACACTAATTGTTTAGGGAGTTTTACGCTAACGGAATGAGTCAGAAAAATTATTAAATTACGGCAAAGGCAATACAAATTGAACTTGAACTTGCGGAAAAGAGCAATATACATATGTGTATATAATTAAAAACTGTAAAACCAGAATTCAACAAAATTGTTTTATCTCCAGCATTTTCTGTGTCACGTTCTGACTTTTTGGTCTTATTTCTTTTTCTTGTTTTTTTTTTTCAATTTGCAGAGAACACCGTGCCGAATAAGATGAACTTGCGCATCCAGTTACGGATAAAGTTTGTGGGAATCATCATCACGATCTCATGATGATCTAACGCTTATGTCAAAGTCGGTTGGCGATTAGCAACAGAATCTAAAAATTGGCACGTTCAACTCAATGGGGGAGGAGGGGGGAGAGAGAGAAGAAACAAACGATTAAAAAAAAAAATGTGAAAATAAAATTTCACAAAAAAAAAACAAAATGAATTAAAAGTTATTTGTTTAACAAAAAACTAAAACCCAAAATAGTAAGCATGGTATTTTAACCATTAAAAATACCGCAAAATACGTAAAATAACATTTAGAGCGGAGTTAACGAATGTGAAAAGGAATTGTTGGCAAAGGGGGAATTGGGATTGAGAAAAGGGCGATGGGGGAGTGCGTGTGTGTGTGCGTATGCGTATGAGTCAACGAGCAAAATGCGGGCTGCGACGTCGACGTCGACTGCACCTTGCACACCCCACACAAAGAGAGCGATAAAGATAAAGAGGGAGGAATGCAAAGAACGAGAGAGGGAGGGGTGGAGAGAATAAGGTCAAGCGGGGTGCGGCGAAAAACATATATTTCCGCTGATAGCCGTTGATAAACGGCTCACTACGCCTCTCTTTCTCCCTCTCTCCCTTCCTTTTCCTCCTTCTCTCTCTCTCTCTCTCTCTCCTTCTGTGTCTGGCTCCTCTTTTCTTTATTTTGCTGAATTAACAATTAGCCTGGTTTTTTTTATTTAGTTTTCATTTAAATACTTAACAAAATTTCACTTTTGCCATGCACATTCCGTTATACATTTTGGGCTTGGTTTTTTTTCGCCTTTTGCTTCACACAAACACACACACACATATATATGCACAACACATACAAAGGCTGGCGCACTTTCTTTGGCGACGACTGCGACGCCGGCAGCGGCGCCTGTTGGCGGCTTTTACAGTTTTTGTTTATTAAACAAAACGAATAGAACGGAAAATCCCATAGGAAAATCCATGAAAACCCCCATATTCCCATCAATTATTTGTGATATATGTATGTTTTAGCACTGCAAAAAAATTAAGAAATGCGTAATCACTTTTTTTGTTGTAAATGGTTCTTCTCTTTTCGGGCGTACTTCGGTTTTTGCGTGTCCGCTTTGGCTTGTTGCTTCCGTTTTATTCCGGCGATTCACCATTAATTTTTCCCAATTTTCCGCTATTTACCGCGACACAAGGCCTTCACTGCAAATTTTCAACTTGATTTTTCCGCGTTTCCCGTCTAAAGTTGCTCAGCGAGTTGTTGTTGGAAATTTTTTTCCTGCGCTTTGCACTCGTATTTATAAACGTTCAGATGAAAATTTAGCCCTAAAAAATCTGAAAATGGAAATCTTCCTAAAAAATCCACATCTGACACTCGAACCACACCCGATACACAATCCAGATGAGAGTAAAGAGTTTACCAGAATTTTCTGTTAAAATGAGAGCCTAACAGAATTTTGTTTATGGAATCTTCAGGAGAGCAACGGAGTTGTGCGCAAAGTCAAATGTAGTTAAATAAAATTCCGAAACGGTAAGTAAAATGTGTATTTTTTTCCTGCGCCTTGCACCCGTATTTATAGGTTTTTACGAAGAGAGGGGAAAGAAGAAGAGGAGGAAAAGAGAACGGAGAGAGAGCTTCAAATGTCAGTTTTACTGAAACACCGTGTCAAATGTAGGCAATGGGGTAGAAGTTATGTAAAACGGGGTCAAATTCCCAATCCGTATGTAAAATACATACGATACTATCGAACGGAAAAATGAAAACAAAAGAAATAGTGTGACTGCACGATTTTCCACAAAAAAACCGAAATAAGCGAAAAAACGCGAATCTCGCTATATAGCTAGGTGATTAGCTATATAGCTAGCCGGGTTAAAATTAGTGTGGCCAGCTAAAAAATCACAAATATATGAAATTTTCCCCTACAAAAACCCACCATTAACAGTGCTGTTAGCAGCCTTTAATGTGACTGTTATGCGCGATTTAGGTTCCGGCAGCACCGGCAAGATGGCGCCACATCAATTTTGGCGAACACCAGCTGAGCGCATTTTTTAGCACATTTCTGCATGTGTGCGCGCGTGTTTGCGTGCGTGTGTGTGTGTGCAAGCTATACGAGTGTTTGTGTGTTGGCTTCGCTGTGGCTAAAAGTGAATTTTTTTACTGTGACAAAATACAAGAAAAATGCGGAAATACGGCATTGAAAAACCGATGTAAACATAATTACGGATTATGGGAATAGGCCTCTAGCCTTTTAGTGCCCGCTACGGCTGCAAAATACCGGAAAACGTCTCCAAACTCGCAAAATTGCAAGTAAAAAAAAACTTAACCTCGCAGCGTTTTTGCAAAAAAAAAAAAAAAAGCGAAGTCGGCGAGTGTGAGCGAGACAGCGGTACTCGAGTGAAAAGTCCCTGTGAGTGTGTGCACGTGTGTGTGGGTGCTTTTATTGTATTGTTATTATTGTTGTACTAATCGCTTTTCTTGAAACATTTAATTTTTTTGCCCAACCGGCGATTGCCGCTCTCACTCGCACGCACAAGCATTTCGAAAAAGAAATAAATGCAAAGACAAGAAATCGTAAAGGTAAAAGCAAAGCAATTTTAAAAGCTAATAAATACCGGTGCAAAGACAAAAAAAAAAAAAACGCTACAAATCGTACGGACGATCTTGTCTGTGTGCGTATGTATGCACACATTTATACATACATATATAATTGCGTGTTTGCTTGTGTGTGTGTGAGGGGCGCTTAGAGGCGTGGCTTTATAAATTTATTTATTACATATGTACGTACATATATATATATATATACCAAACACACTTACAAGTATGTATATATGTATGTACATCCAGTTAGTACTTCGAACTCGTAGGTTTCTTCTTCATTTTCATCAAGTCTCTTTGATTGGCATTTTCTTCTTGCAAACATAAAAAAAATCGCACTCCAATTGAATTCGAAGATGACGATCTTAAAAGCGCAGCGTAGCAAGCAGCAAAACAAAAAAAAAAGATGGAAGCGAAAAACAAGGTTCAGAGGGAAAAAAGCTTGGAAATTCCAATTGGACAGACAGTGGGAATGGTCTTTCAGAACAAATTATATTTCAGAACATCTGTTAGTGCGTACATTATTTTAAAACAATGTGATAAGTGTACATTTTAAAAGAAAAGATTAACGGTTATGTCGTCTCAATTGTTTGTTTTTTATTTATACAATTTTTTTTTAATAATCTTTAGAATATATGTCTGCTTATTGTTGATTGTACAAAATCAATATTCCAGATTTGAAAATAGAGTTAAAATTAGTGTAAAAAGTTCAAAAATATATATTTTCTATATTTTCAATTACATAATGGGATTTTTTTTATATATTTCACCCTTTTTATATTTTTCACCCTTAGGTGATCTAACGCAAAAGTGTGCCCACTAAGAGGGAAGCTTAAAAGGTCACCTTATAGTTTCCAGTGTAGAAAAAAAGTATGCGACTGCTCGCATTGATGTTCAGACAGCGACTGTAAAGAATTAAGCAGAATATTCGAGAGCTACATACATATATGTATGTACGTATGTACATATGTGCGAAAGGGTTAAATACATATGTTTATCAAGGGAACCCGTGGACCTTTCCGATTGGAATTGATATTTCGATTTAAAAAATTTAACTTAAACCAAAACTACAAATATCGCAAAAATTAAACCAGTTTACGGATAAGAAGTAAAATAGTTTGTTTAATTGCATTTGAAACTATTAATATAATATGATTTATTAATTTGAAACTAGCAAAAATCTTAAAAGTTTTATTTCATAAGCCATTGTGCTATTTTTATGGCGATTCATAATTGCAGGCACAATTTGATAATAGTTGTGTGGTTTTATTTTTGGTCATTTTTTGTTTGCGCTATAAAAAGAAACCAAATTTTTGCTGATAAGAAAATGCTTTTCGATAAGACTTTATTAGCAGTACAGTGCGTATATTAAAAAAAATGTATGTAGTAATGTACAAAAACCATTCGAAACCTTTTGTTTTTCAGATGAAAATCCCATTTTATTGCCATGGCCCTGACAAATCTTGTCGCCTTTGTTGCCGACAAGTGCTACCAATCTCAAAATCACAATAAAAATGTTGAATAAGTAAAAAAATAATTTAAAAAAAACTAAAAAAAAAAACTTATACAAAGAACACAGAAAGTCGCAGGAAAAAATCTGAGAAATCTCAATTGATACAAACAATCGGACAAATAATTTATTCGCAATGGATCAATTTCATACGACGATTAATCCGCGAAAACAGGAGCTTCTAGAGGCTCGATTTATTGGAGTTAGGGTAAGTGCATAACGTTATTATAATATAATTATAATTATACTTACCACTATTTTGACCGCAATTGTGCTGAGAGTCTTGGGAGTATTTTTTCCTGTGTACGGCTTAATTGCACCACCACCACAAACGCACACATGGCTCTCCTCTTAACGTTGATTTTGTCATCAACATCTCGTGACACACACAATACAGTGAATACATAAATGCACAGAACTTGTAGTACATAAAAGTACATAAAGATTCAGTTCGCCTACATGCCCACTTGCACCACCCACCTGAAATGCCTATACATTCACATCCATTCTTCGTCCTCCTCCTTGCACCGCCCACCAGCCACCATTCTCCACTACCTTCCCCCCGCTTTCTTTCGTTTACAGTGGGCGCTCGCTTGAATAAAATATTGTAAGTCGGAGATAACGTAAAACAGTAAATGATAATTGGGTACTTTAATTCTCAATAAATTCTTATTTATTTATTATAAGCAGTATCAAATGGTAATTAGTTTATATTATACTCTTAGAGTAGTTAGGATTTTTTCTGAGTTCCCCTAGCACCGATTTAAAAAGTAAACTAAACTAATACTATAATACCCAGAAGTATAACTTAAAAAAAAAAACTAAGTCTCTTCTGACTGTTGACATATTTCGGGTGCTGACTGTAACTTTTTTTCGGGTGGGTGGCTGGCTCGATTCTCTTTGCATTTGCCACGTCCTCCTCCTTCCTGTTCCTTCCTGTGTGTGTCTCTGCGTGTGTAATGGAATGAAAGTACAAATAAAAGAACAGCTGATAAGCAACGACGTCAGCGACAGAAGAATTTTGGGGAGACAGGGAGCAAAGAGAAAGAAAGAGAGAGAGAGAGGAGCCAAAGAAACGTTAATCTAGCAAAGATAGCAAAATTGTAGCAAAATAAAAAGTACCAAAAGGTACTCGCAGAATAAAGATGCGCAAAATAAAACTTAATTTTATATTGAATTTAGAATCAAAGATTGAATTCTAAGACGACCTAGCAAATGCATAATTATTTCATATAAATACATATTTATGTATATATGAAAAACGAACAATAGAAAATGCAGATGTACATATAAGCTGCATTTGAATATTGGAATATCGTAATTTGTAAACCAATGATTTTTGATATGAATACCACGGTGCCTTAATGTTATTTTTTAAATGTTATTAGCATTTCGCTGTTAGCTTAAGATGGCCGCTTCTATGCTCTGTTAACTCCATGTTGTTTCGATTTCTGGGCTCCTCATACAAGCGTTTAAAAATTGTTTCACTCAATCGGCACGCAATGCGAATTGCTGGCCAAATATAGGTCCAGTTCCCACATCCACAGTTCTCTTACACCCTGCTTCTTTTTCGATGCCCAGTCATAAAATCCACCGGTTCCGTTGGGATGTACCTACATACATAACATCGCTCTGCACTTATTACACATTTCGCATGTGGCGTAACATTTAATTGGCCTCCTGTCAAAAGCGACGCACTGTGGTCCAGCCGACCTCTTTTGTTGGCCAAAACCAATTTATTCAAAATTAACCAATTATTGTGATTTTTGGTCTCATTAATAAAACTTTAGTTTAAATGTAATCTTAAAAAAGGTACATATATTAAGTAATTGGAATTTGTAGGGAATTTTATACTCGCTTTTCTGACACATTTGGCCATATTTCTTTAATTTTTCAATAAAAGATGCAACTTTTTATCATTATTTATTTTTATTCTTATCACGATTGGTAAAGTTTCAAGTTGATATCTCTTAAATTGACTGAGCTATTAATTTTGGCCAATAAAAGTGGTCGGTTGGACCACAGTGCGACGTCGACTTTGCGTCGGCAGCGGATAACAGAGGGTAAACAGAGAGCGAAAAGCTAAAATAAAGACAGCAACAGCAACAGCAGCCGGCGAGTGCTTTCTTTGCTCTCTCTCTCTCTCTCTCTCCATAAATTGTCCCTCGTGCGGTCTGTAAATGTGGTCATAGTAGGCTTGTGAAAAT